TGAAAGATGATTATAATGAGGTCCTTGTGGCATTTCTTGTAAGCACAAGATATCATACTGGACTTTCTCTCACAGACTTACAATCAGTTCTTTTTTTGCTGTTGAAAACTGTTCAAGGTTTGCAGAAAGTACTGTCAATGCTGGCCCTAGGGACAGCCCATGTCTGCTTTGGGCACAAGGCATTATGACTGGTTGTAGTTGGCCCATTTGTAGGGTCACAATCGTGGTTTGGAGTGTTAGCAGAACTCACAGGTATTACCTGACAAGGGTTGCAGCATGAATGCTTCTGCTATGGCTCCCACTTATCTAATAAAACAATGCTGAACTTTTTTTTTTTTTTTTAAAACTGATGAAGAAAACTGCTTGAGAGTTTCAATTGATGGCTACACGTTAGAGCAACAGAATAACTGTTTGGGATATTAGGAAAAAATTCTTTGTTAGAACAATGAGGCAGTGGAATGGAGTGCTTCTGGAAGCTGTGGCCCATCACTGGAGCAGTTCAAGAAAAGGCTGGATAGTCACTGGTAGGGGTTGGTCTAGGTGTAGCTATGCCTGTGTTGTACTATGGGTTTTCCCATGCTTCTGGGTATTGCTGATTGCTGCATACCCCCATTTCTGCCATGTTTCAGGTTATTTTAAGCTTCCCTCAGAGGCACTGGGTCTTGACTGCAGCCAAGGCTGTGCACTTTGACTGGGGTGTGCCAATGCTCCTACTGGCACCAAAGCTGGAGGGTCCTGGTTAGAGGGTCTTACCCCTCCACTCAGGGCCAGACCAACTGCCATATTTTGGTTCAGGAAGGAATTTTACCCCATGGTCAGATAGGTATAGACTGTGGGGGTTTTTTTGCCTTCCTCTATAGTGAGGGGAGGGGGGCATGGCCCTCTTCCTGGGATATATCTTGACACTATATTCACTTTTTATAGAAACAGGACACTGGCTGTTATGCTTACCCTGCTTTACCTGTGGTATTTAGGGTGTTATGTCTTGTTGTGTCAAGGTTGACTGCAGTCTCGCAAAGAGTTTAGATTACGGATTGTATTGGATGGTTTGATCCTGCCTCAGGAAGGCGGTTCAACTAGATGACTTCCAGCCCTACTTCTTTATGATTTCTATAATTTCTATGATATTTTGGTTAGGGGGAAACTACCTTGATTACTGGACTAGGTTTTCAGTGCATTTGTATGTCAAATGTATGCAAAGAAAGGGAGATGTTAAATTTGAATACTTCAAAGCTAATAGGTTTTCTAAATGACCTATATTTGTATACTTTTCTTGCTTAAAAATATTTTCTAATGTGGTCTGATTGGAACTGGTTAAAACCTATTATGGTGTAAACTAAATGAAAGAGTCCACTAAAATAGGCTGTTGTCAAATCCCACATAATGAACTGTAACTTCAGGCATCTCTACTTTAATTTTCTTTTCTAACCTGTTCCTAATTAATGACATCTGGGAACAGCTTTTCTTTCATTTAAAGCAGAGTCTCTACAAAGTTTGACTCTGACAGAAAGACGTAAAAGAAGGAAATGGGAAATGTAATAACTGAATGAATTTTAAATCCAGGTGCTATATTTGATTTTTATAAGCAGTGTCAGAATATTTTTAAGTGTAGCAGCAAAATGTAATGCTTTGTGCCATAACATGTTATAAGTCCAAGCTTATGGAGAGTGGTATTTTTCCAAGTCCAAAATGAAAACTATTTGAAACTCATTTTTATAGAAATGAACTAGAATATTTTTGAAGAAACATTATTTTGCTTCCTGTCTTGTAAACTATGCCTCATATTTCCCAAGGAAAAAATGGGCAAATCCTCAGGTATTATAAATTGGCATATTCCTTGCTGCTTTTCATCAACCAAGAATCTTGACATATATGTTTATATTGGCTTTGCATTTTTGGTGATTACATCACTTCTGTTTTTATTTCTACTTTATGGATGGCTTTTTCAGAGTATTTATCTGTTCTCTGAAAATAACTGCTATGATGTAAGAGCCAGGGAAAGAAAGCCAAGATGCTGAGATTTAGGAGCAACCTTTTAAATGTTAATGGCCTTATCTTAAGAGACTGTGAGCAATCCAAGCTTCCATGAACTTCAGATGGAAATGTGGATAATTGGGACTAAAACCCAAGCCACGACTGTGGTTTGTTTGTGGTTTTTTTTTTAACAATTAACAAATCTGGTCAAATTTAGCTTTCCTGTGTATATTTCTGAGACAGAAGAGGAGGGTAAACTGTTCTCAAGTAATCTGAGAGTCCCGTGTAATCCCATGACTCCAGAAGCTAGGGCTTTATGAAAATGATGAGATCCACAAAAAAAAATCCAGGAGTTGACACTGAGAATACCATAAAGTGCTAAAATCTTATGATACACAGTGTTGGCCCAGCCAGTTTGCCAGTATGCATGGTGAAAGCTGTATCCAGTCACACCCTCAAAAACCTAATCTCTGAATGACCAAACAGTGGAGTTCATAAGAACTGTCTAACCTCTGACGAGCAGGATTAACAGCATCTTGCCTGCATGACTATTTGCCTCGCTAAGGACAGCTGATTTTATGAGGTGAGGATATTGGCAGTTTTGACTAAAGATCAACTAGTTTAACTAGAGACCAGGCCACACCTTCATTTGACAATGTAGACATGCCAGTTGTCCCTGGTTAAAAACTCTCTGTGGAAATGTTCAATAGTTCTTTTATTAAAAAATAATAATAATTTTAAAAAGATAGTATTGTCTGCTCCTTCTTCTGAGGAATCGATCTCAGGGGACCAAAAAAACAGATCTTGCAAAATAGTGTCTTTTCAAAAACTATCATGGGCATTTAAGGAAGTACTAAAATTATTAGCTATCTTGAATACTAAACTGAAGGACTCTGTAAAAATGTTAGCAGTGAAAACAATACAAACTGCAGCAAGAATTCTGTTACTGGAGCATAGTTCCAGCAAAGCAGAAATTAAGTAAAAAAGTTGCTAAGAACCTTCTGAAAGACAAATAGACTTGTGAAAAGATACTTCTGTGCCATTATGGAATCTGGCAAATGCTTCTTCCAAAACAAGAACTAAGAGGCCTTAAGAAAAATAGTAAAGGGACTAAGATTCTCATACAGAAAACTTAAGGAAACTGAAAGCACTGGGGAGCTTTACTTGTGAAGACAATCCAGCAAAATATATAAGCACATGTACAATTCTAAGCAGGTGATTAGCCCCACTCAAGTTAAGTTAAGCATAGGTTTGAGTACTATGTTGTACTGGGGTAAGGATATTTAGCACATCGCTAGGCTGAACCCTGAATTTCTTCAGTGGACTACCATAACTTATTCATTGTGATTACCCATGTGCTTAAGTCACAGCTTTTCTGGGTCAGGGCCAAAAGCCAAATTTACTCTAACGAGTTACAGAACAAATATCCTTTAACTCCTTAGCAGAAATTGTCTTAGGAACTTGAGAACAGCTAAAAATGTCCATCAAAAGTACACAGGGCCTCTTATTACATTTGTTGTAGTGATTGTGGATAAGTCTATTGAATCCCATGGATATTGTATCAGACCCTTTAATCCTGGAAGATGCTCAGGATGTTTACAGAAAGAAATTCCCCTGCATGAATGTCTAGGCTCCTTGTTACAATATGAAAATAGTATTGCATGATATGACACTAATTGTATCTTAATTTCTTTTGTTTGGTGATAGGACACCATGGAACTACAAATCCTCTGAAGGGGAAGGAGAGAGAATTAAATGCAAGGCAAGCCTAGTACACCCAGTAACATATAAATAAACAAAACCAATCAGGATTATACTGTACAATTGAGTAGGGGAAGACACCATATAAAGGCCAGGTTGTAAGTGAATGATCCACCATCTAATGCCCTGGCTGCAGAGTAATGGAATCAAATTTATTTTGCTTTTCTTTTGCTTGTGTAGGGTAAGATGAACATGAGGATCAAGTGACCTTTATGGGAAATGCCTGCACGAATGTAAACCTTGCACTGAAGTGGATTGTATGGCAAAACATGGCTTTTCACACAGTGATGGAAGACTGTGTGGAAGACTTCAGCCTTATCTTTGAATTTTCTTTACTACTTATATATCTAATTCACCTCTAAAGCTGTTTTCCATTGAAATATATCGACTATACACTTTAATAGGAACAAACCATATAATGATTTGTCTGTTGTAAATGCATATTTAAATAATCTTAAATTCACTTCTTACGGTGGATATTATGGCTCTTAGAAGTGCCAAAATTTATACTAGTACACTGTATTCACTGTAGCTAATAAATGCATGCTATTTCTGTGGAGTCCATATCACAAAATGTGGATAGCTTAGTGTAAACATAGCTAAAAACAAATGAAAGGCAAAATGTTTTGTTAATGCAATACCAAATCTAGAATCAATCTGTAAAAATATTCCTATAGTCTGCTTTCAGACCTAACTATCTATTCTGTTATCTGTTATGGACTCTTGATTGCATGAATTATTGATTTCTCTACCGGGGAGCAGAGATAATTGTTTTTGAAAATAAAGGATCTACTTCTACAGTTTGTACATAGGCAAAGTTCTCATTGAAACCATTGGGAGATCTGGTATGTCTGCATGCCTCAAAGCCAAAATTGTAAAATAGTGCTCTGAAGTTCAGAAGCCACATTTTTATTTTGGAGCCAATTTATTATTTCCAGTTTTGTTCTAGAGCTGCTGACAAATCCTCAAGAATAACAACTATTGTTGCATAGAGACCACCTTGTGAACAATCTAGATATTTGCTATCATGTGGAAGTGTTAACTGCTGTACTGTGTGAAATCCTGGCCCCACTGAAATAGATAGGAGTTTTGCCAATGATTTGAAGGGAGCCATGCTTTCACTTGTCTTTAGCAAAGCTATTAAATAAAGTGTATATTGAACTAGCTGAAAAACACAAAGCCTGAATATTTTAGCCAATAAACTTGATTTATCTGCAATTTTATAAGGTATTGACCCAGATCTTTTCCTCCCCCTATTTCTAGATGGTCATAAAGTTGCATCTATTTAATGGGAAGTCAAAAAGCATCTTTCACCTCTATCTTTCTACCTTTCAGTAAAGCTGTTCCTTGGAACTATAAAACTTATGATTTTAATTTTGACTGATTCATGAAAAGTGGAACAGAAGGTCACAACTGAACCTAGGGGTTCCCATTAGAATTGTTCCTCAGACACTACAATTGCAAGCCCCAACTCTTGTATGTAGTTTTTAGTTATTGACCTGTGTGTTTTGTAGAACTTGTTTGTCCCTGGCCCAAAGATCTTATAGTCTAAGGCTTGTGGGCCAAATCCAGGCCATGGAGCTAATGACTTGGCCCGTGGTCACTGGATTGGTCCCAGTCCCACATGTTTCAGGCAGTGTGGGGGCTGGATCCCTCACCAGTCTGCACATGCATTGCAGGTAGCACAGAGGGTCAGTCTGGAGTGCCTCATGCAGCCTGCGCCTAGGCCCCTTGTGCTGCGAGCAGTGCTGGGTCCAGCCTGCATGCTGTGGGCAGCATGTACCCTAGGCTGGGCCTGGTGCATATGGCATGCAGGGAGGACCAGGCACTCTGTGTGTGCTGCAGGGGTCAGTCCCAGTCCAGCCCACAGACAGGCTCAGGTATGTTCATCTGGGCCATGTGGCTGGATCAGTTTGATACCCCTCATCTAAGGAGTATATCTAGCATAAGGAACAAAGAGACAATCAAATATCTATTTTTTTTGTTACTGCCAATTCTTTTTCAACTGAGAATCCCTTTACACTGTTCTGAGCTTAAATTTCTGTTTCCATCTATTGGGAAAGCAGTGTCTGAGACTTCTTTCTTGCAGAGCTGGGATTGTTTGCAGCTGGAACGGCTGGCTTTCTCCCCCTAAGAGAGATCAAGATCATTTTTGTAAATGACAACACAATATTAAAAAGGCAATATGGAGTGAACCAGTTTTAGAGAAAACAAGAGAATGCAACTGGACAACCTGTTTTTTCTGATTTTGAATCTAAAGATGGAGTAGGCTCTGGGATGGTATTCTTACAGTCACCTGGATTTGAAGTTTTTCTTTCTCTCCTGAAGATCATGTGGTCACATAATTGGCAATTAATTGTTTGGCAGGATGAAACTGGGGCATTCACAAGATACATGACTCTGCCAGAATAGTTATTCACTTTTATGGTTACCTTTTCCTCACTCTTTGCATGAGATCTTAGTTTTGCCTGAACAATGAAAATGGTAGATAACTATTGTCACAGAGGCTAATGGGCGACTGGAAGTCATCCCTCTGGGGTGGAAGGACTAAAATGATCTCTGTTGTGATATGAAGAAATCTGCAGGAGAAGGAAGAAGAGGGTGGGAGATATGGAGCTGGAAAATTTCAGTGTGCTCTTGAGGCTAAAGAGCTACCTTGCTGCCCTGGAGACCTGAGAAATAGTAAATGTCATATAGGTATAGGTGCAGGTTAAGCTGTCTCTGAATTTGAATGGATTAGGCATGGTTCCACAAGGGGAGTGAAAATCTGATGGATCCAGGGGCATGTAGTGGTACAGTTGCCTCTCCCCTTTGATTTCTGCTCCATCCAAAGTTTAAAACAAACTCCTTGGCAGTGGCTGCAGCATTTCTGTTCAGGCCACAGCAAGACAGTCACTTGACATAATAACTCATAGTCTACCTGATTCCTTCTAAACTCTTCATTCCATTGGTGTTAACAACCCTCTCCTGTTTTAATGGTCTTAATACTTGACTAATCAAGCTATTCTTTTTTTTGCAATTCTGCTGTGCGCTACTGTTTCTGGTAAGGTAGCTTGCATTTTACAGCCCTGCAGACTGTTTTTAACTCTAGCGTAAAACATTTACTCAATTGTGGAAACAATTCAAATGTGAAAATAATTTTCAGTGAAGCACTGGATGTATCAAGATGCTTCAGGTTTGATTTTTGTTTTATGAATCTGAAAGAAATGTACATTTAATTCTCATGCCAACAGAACTAAAAGTGCAACATCTTTTGATTACGTTTTGCCTAGTTTGTGGTTTTTACAATGAAAAATATGATATAGCAAATTAATGCACATTCTAATAGAGTGGTATATGCTTTTGCTTTGGTCTTAAACTGCATGATATAGTCCTAGGTCCCCTGCATATTAGTGAAGCTTCTAGTTTCTTTTTTTTTTTTTACCTGGAGAAACATGTATTGTGTTCAGTGGCGACACGTAGGGGGTGCCCATGCACCCCCTGAGAGCATCAGTGTACCCCCTGACAGCTGTGCTTGCTGCTTAGGCAATGGCCGGGGGGGCAGGTGGGAACACCAGTGCCCCCCTGTAAGCGCTGGCCAATCATTGCGCTCGCTGAAGCCGCTCCCAGAATTGGCCGCAGTGAGCGCAGCAATTGGC